AAAAAAAAAAAAAAAAAAAAAAAAAAAAAAAAAAAAAAAAAAAAAAAAAAAAAAAAAAAAAAAAAGAAAGAAAGAAAAAAGAAAAAGAAAGTAGAAGAGCCAACTTTTTTATTTTTTTGAGACTGAGTCTCACTCTGTCTCCCAGGCTGGAGTGCGGCGTGCGGTGGCACAATCTTGGCTCACCACAGGTTCAAGCGATTCTCCTGCTTCAGCCTCCTGAGTAGCTGGGATTACAGGTATGCACCATACCCAGCTAATTTTTTTTTTTTTTAATTTTTAAATTTTCGCTTTTTATTTAGAGATGGAGTCTCCCACAGTTGCCCCGGCTGGAGTGCAGTGGCCTGATCTTGGCTCACTGCAACCTCTACCTCCTGGGTTCAAGTGATTCTCCTGCCTCAGCCTCCCGAGTAGCTGGGATTATAGGCATCTGCCACCACACCTGGCTAATTTTTTGTAAAGATGAAGTTTTTAGTAGAGATAGGGTTTCACTACGTTGGCCAGGCTGGTCTCAAACTCCTGACCTTGAGATCTATCTGCCTCAGCCTCCCAAAGTGCGGGGATTACAAACGTGAGCCACCACACCAAGCCAATTTTTTTGTTTTTTTTTTAGTAGAGACAGGGTTTCACCATATTCGCCAGGCTGGTCTTGAACTCCTGACCTTAAGTGATGCGCCCGCCTCAGCCTCCCAAAGTGCTGGGATTATAGGCGTGAGTCACCACACCTGTCCTCTGTCCTTTTTTAAAAAAACAAATCCAAGCAGAACACACAGGGAGCAAGGCCCCACGGGAGGGGCTCAGGCTGCCACTGCTGCCAATCTTTGGGGAGGAGGATCCAAAGCCAGGGACCCCTTTCTTCCTTTCTAGGAACGAGACTTTGACCTTGGAGGGTGGTCTCAGATTTCTGAGAATAAAATCAAAAGGTCAGCTGGAGTCCATCCTAACTGAGTCTCAAGCTGGGAGCAGCACTGAGCTGGGGGTGGGGCTGAGGTGTGAGTACAAAGGCTGAGATGGATTGTCCCAGGGAGCGGGGGACTGGAGAGTGCTCCAGCAGAAGGCAGACACCTTCCCTACACCAGGAGCTTGCCAATCAACATGAGCTACCGCACCCACCACCCCAGGCCCTGAAAGGGCAGCGTCCTTCCATGAATTCCCAGAAGGGGAATCCAATGTGTGGCGAGGATGAGAATCTGAAATTCCCCCGCTATGACTTAGCCAGGCTGGGACGAGACCTAAGATCCGACATCAAGGCCCACGCTCTTCCCAGAATCAGGCCACACTACATGCCCAAGCACAGGCGTGAGCCCTAGAGGCCTCCTTAAACTACCTCCCAAAATGCTCCCAGAGGAGCCCCGCAGGGACTCCAGTACCTGGGGACACTGAACCACGGATCAAATATCTAAACCCATGCTACTGCCCAATATGGCTGCCGTGCCTCGTGTGGCCGTATACACCTACACGCCAATCAGTTAAAGTGAAATAAAATTGAAAACTGACTTCTTCGGTCACAGCAGCCACATTTCAGGTGCTCAGTCGCCACGTGTGGCTGGGGGCTACCGTATTGGGAAGTGCAGACAAAGGCCCTTCCATTCACACACAAAGCCCCACCAGGCAGCACTGCTCTGAACAATGACAGGCCCCCCTCGAAGGGGGTTGAGTAGCTCCCCCGCCCCCTGTCCAGTGTGTGGGCCCAGGGCATGCCACCTGTCGCTTTATCATCACATCTCGTTCAGAGGCAGGAGAGTTGACAAGGCCCCAGACAGGTAAGGAAAGTCAAGGCTAGGTTAAGAAAACCGAGAGAGTCCTCAAGAGAAAAGAAATAATCTGGCTTTAATCTCACCTTGATCCACTGTTTACAGCGGGGGTCATACCTATAAAGAAGATTGGAGGCCGCATCCCCTCCGTTGTCCCGTGAGAAGCTGCCGCCGGCGATGAAGATGAAGCCCCCCAGCACCGCCACACAGTGGTGGCTCCGCCGGGCGGGCAGCGGCGTCTCCTTGACCCACTGCTCGCTCTTGGCGTCCAGGTAGCAGGTGTCGTCACTGAGCTCCAGACACCCCTCGGAGACCTCGCCGCCCACGAACAGCAGGCGCTCCTGGTTGGTGCGCAGCGCCGTGCGCTTGGTCTGCATGACGGGCTGGGCTGCCACATTGTTGTGGTAGCGCAAGGCCTCCTCGATGAAGCCCTCGCAGTTGGCCTCCTTGGGCAGCAGTGAGCACACAGCCGGCTTGACACGGTGCAAGAGGTCGTTCTTGGGGATGAGCGGGAAGTGGATGTTCTCCAGCACCTGGCGGGCGTGGGCCTCGCGCTCCGGCTGCTGCGTCAGCCACTGCAGGGCGGCCTGCAGGAGGTCGTGCTCACACTCCCGCTGCACCTCGCTGCTGCTCAGGTAGACACACAGCTTCTGCATGGAGATGTTCTGCAGGAAGTCGGGCGTGAAGGACAGCGTGCCAAAGTGGTTCAGGATGAAGCCGTCGATGAAGGCGTCCAGCCGCTTGAGGCTGTAGATGGAGGCCAGCTCCTGCAGGTACAGGTAGTTGTCCTCGCTCACCTCCTGCTCCAGGTACTCACAGCAGAAGTCCACCACCGTCCAGATCTGCAGCAAGTGGGCCGTCTCCAGGATGTAGTCGATGTTGCCGCCGTCCAGCACCAGCTCCCCGCCATACAGGAAGTCCACCACGGCCTTGAGCCCGATGTAGGAGGCGCCAATCAACTCCACCTCCTTCTGGAAAGCTTCCCGCATGCCAATGGTAAACATGGAGTTGAAGTAGTCGCTGCACACTGCCAGCAGGTTACGGTGGGCTGGCACGCGCTGCTCATCGGCCACCAGGACGATGTCGCAGAAGAGGCCGCGGAGACGCTGCTCGTTCAGCCGCTGCAGCACGGTGGTTGAGTGGTCGGCCCAGCGGTACACCTGAACAGAGAACACAGGTCAGAGACGGCACAGCAGCCTGCTCGGTCCTGGACCAACCCAGTGGGTCCTGACCGGCATTCTCAACAAGATGAAATGGAAGAAAGCAGGAAATAAAATGCTGCGTCAGAGGGCGCTGCGGGAGGAACAGATGCTTCTGCATACGCATGTGTACTGTGTGTTTCCTTTTTCTTTTTTTTCTCTGTCACCCAGGCTGGAGTGCGGCAGCATAATCTCGGCTCACTGCAACCTCCACCTCCCGGGTTCAAGGATTCTCCTGCCTCAGCTTCCCAAGTAGCTGGGACTATAGGCATCTGCCACCACACCCATCTAATTTTTTGTATTTTGAGTAGAGATAGGGTATCACCATATCAGCCAGGATGGTCTCGATGTCCTGACCTTAGGATCTGCCCACCTCGGCTTGTGCACGCTTTCTGTCTCTCTCTCTTTTTATCTGAGAAACAGTCTTGCTCTGTAGCCTAGGTTGGAGTATAGTGGCGTGATCTCAGCTCGCTGCAACCTCTGCCTCCTGGACAGAGGATGGCTACAGCCGGGCTTGGCCAACAAGGTGAAACATTGTCTCTACTAAAAATATGAAAATTAGCCAGGCATGGTAGTGTGTGCCTGTAATCCCAGCTACTTGGGAGGCTGAGGCAGGAGAATTGCTTGAACCCAGGAGGTGACAGTTGCAGTGAGCTGAGATCATGCCACTGCACTCCAGCTTGGGAGACAGA